GAACCGTAGTATGCAACCTATCACTAAAACCAGCTTCAGATCCAGGGACTGGAGAGTTGTCAATGTGACTCCCCTATTTAAAAAAGGCTCTAGAGAGGATGCAGGGAACAGCAGGATGGCGAGCCTACCTTCTGTTCTTGGAAAACTGGGTGAAGCAATAAGAAAAAAAAGGAATTGTTCAGCACACAGATGAACATAACTTGCTGGGGAGGGAAGGAAATCAACATGGCTTTTTGACAAGGGAAGTCATGCCTCACCAACTAGAGTTCTCTTAAGGGTGTCAGTAAGCAGGTGGATAAGACCTTTGATAAGGTCCCCCATCAGAGGCTCTTAATGAAGTTAGATAGTCACAGGGAATTGTCCACTCATAGATTAGAAACTGGCTTAAAGATAGAAAGCAAGGAGTGAGTATAAATGATCAGTTTTCAGGATGGAAAGACATAAACAGCGGGGTCCTGCAGGGATCTGTATTGGGACCAGTACTGTTTAACATATTCATAAATGATCTGGAAAAGGGGTGAGTAGTGAAGTGGCCAATATGTAGATGACAAAACTATTCGAATGGTAAAGACTGAGGTAGTCTGTGAGGAGCTACAGAAGGATCTAGCACAATTGGGCAAATGAGCAACTAAATGACACATGAAATTCAATGTAGATAAGCATAAAGTGATGCACCTGGGCAAAAATCACCCAAACTATACCTACACTATGATGAGCTCTGCATCAGCAGTTGCCACACAGGAAAGAGATTTGGGAGTCATTATGGACAGGTTGCCAAAAACATCAGCTCAGTGCTCAGCAGCCATCAAAAAGGCAAACAAAATGTTAGGAATTGTGAACAAAGCAGAATCTATCACTATGCCACACTTGAATACTGTGCCCAGTTTTGGTCCCCACACCTCAAAAAGGACATAGAGGAACTAGAGCAGGTCCAGAGAAAGGCAACAAGGATGATTAGCGGTATAGAGCGGCTTCCATACGAGGAGAAATTAAAGAGGCTAGACCTATTCAGTTTAGAAGAGAGATATTTGAGAGGGGACATGATAAAGGTTTACAAAATCTTAAACAGAGAAGAGAAAGTAAATAGGGATTATTTATGGTCTCTCACAAAATAAGAACTAGGGATCACAAAATGATACCAGTAGGTAGTATGTTTAAAACTAACAAAAGAAAGTTCATGTAGACGCACAACAGGTGTGTCTACATGTGCCTCTTTTAAGTGGGCTTAGCCTAAAAATCGCCATTTTAAAGTGCGTTAAGGGCACATCTACACGTATGCATTCTTAATATGCCTTTAAAATGGCTGTTTAAGGCTGTATGAGCCTAAATTTGATACCCACATAAAGCAGGTATCAAATTTAGGTGCGAAAAACGAAGTTGCATTAGCTCACGTGTAGAAGTGTTAATGCGTATTAACACGGTGAGTGTCAATGGACACACGCTGTGTTAATATGCATTAGCGCATCTACACGTGCGCTAATGTGACTTAGCTATTCACGCCTAAATTTAATGTGCCTTAAGTGGTGCAGGCACCTACTCTGGACTCCTTTAAGAAGCGTTTGGACACTTATCTTGCTGGGATCCTCTGACTCCAGCTGACTTCCTGCCCTTGGGTTGGTCTAATAAAAGAGATCAAATTCACCCAAGGAACCTTGTCTACTGATTTCTAGCACAATGGTTCGTCCTGCCGCTTTTGGACAGATGTAGGGGGGTTACCCTCCAACTCCAAATTTTGGGTGTGGCACTAAATGGCCCCAAAGCCAGCCCTGGCTCTGCTGCCAGGCAGGGGGCGACACCCAGAGGCCGGGCTGAGCCATCTCCCTCCGCGCCACACCTGTCCCTTTAAGAGCCGGGCTGCGAGGAGGGGAGGGGGGGGGGGAGTTCCACCTGGAGGACTCGGAGGGGCTGGGGCGGCCCAGCCCAGCCCGCGGGGCGGTGGCGAGTGGCGCGATAGCGCGGGCGGGGCGGAGGCAGGTGAGAGCGCGGGGGGCGGGGCGCGGTCCGGGGCCGCGGGGGCCTCTCGGGGGGGCTGTGGCTGAGGGCCGGCGATATGGACCCCGCAACAGCGGGGACACGGGGGGGTGTGCTGCATATGCACACACATACGTACACATATATATGCCTGTGCACACGTACGCACTCATACACACACACACATATACGCGGACACACATACACACACGTGCACACATACACACGCATTCACACAAATAAGTCCCCACACATACGTGCACACTGAGGGCCGGCGATATGGACCCCGCAACAGCGGGGACACGGGGGGGTGTGCTGCATATGCACACACATACGTACACATATATATGCCTGTGCACACGTACGCACTCATACACACACACACATATACGCGGACACACATACACACACGTGCACACATACACACGCATTCACACAAATAAGTCCCCACACATACGTGCACACCTACACACACGTGTGCACATATACACACATGCACATATGTATTTGTGTGTGTCTGCGCCAGTGCTCCTGCTGGGACTAAAGCCGGAGGCTCCCGGCCTGTGAGTCTCGCCCGTCTGCTCTGCCTCAGGCCGATGCCACCTTTGGGGTTATTTGGGGGCGGCTCTCTCTCACACACACACACACGTATGTAAATATATATGTATATGTATGTATGTATATATTAAATAAATATTTTTGCCTCCCCCCCCCCCCCCCAAAAAAAAAAATAAAAAAAAAAGCTTTTTGGGCTGAACTCAGGTCGTCAGATGCTGTGGAAGGACCTGCTGCACGCAGGTAGTATACAAAGGAGAGAGCAATTAGAAAACAAAAGCGTGCGACTGTGGAAAACATGGTAGCTGAGCGGGCTTGATAGGTGCCCCTTGAATCCCTCTGGAGGCTGGCTCTTTGGTACCTGGCATCAAGCTTTTGGCTGCATGATGAATTATTGTAATGTTACTGAAGGCTGCGGTAAAAGAGGGGAGGACATGCTATGTGCTGCTTCCATTGCTGAAGTAACTGGCCTTGGTCCTGCCCTCGCGTGTATTAACTCCCATCCTAGTTTATTATGTGAAGTCTGAGACTGGAAAAAAAAAAAAAAGCAGCATAAGCACTCTAGCTCGGTGAAGCCAATTGTGCATAATCCTTCCTCCTTGCTCATTCGTTTAGAGATGTCTGTGCATCTTCCCTGCCCTGCTGAAGTTTTAGGGCACATATTTTTCACGGTATGAGGCAGTGTGGTGTGGAGACGTTCTGATCCAGCGGGGAACAAACTAGTTTGCTTTCACTGTGCGGAAATACTGGGTCAGTGTGCAGGTTCCTGCTGTGGGGTCACATCAGAGCACCAGGTCATGCCTGCAGAATGACCCCCGTGTGGGATCAGGATCGCGGGATCAGATTGACACTACAGGTCTAGGCCATAATCCTTGCTTCTCAGAAGAGCCGATTTAAGTTGGGTACAGTGCTGTGTGACTGTGGCTGTTGCTTTTTATGGACCTTGTGCACCCAGAGCTAGTTTGGGTTCTTTGTAGGGCTGCCTTGGAGTGCACATACAGTGACTCTGGAGTAGGTCTAGATGCCCTTCTCCTAATGCTAGGAGAAGGGCATCTGTATGTGCCTTGGAGTGCACATACAGTGACTCTGGAGTAGGTCTAGATGCCCTTCTCTCTAGATGCTAAGTCTCCTAATAGCCCCCCTCTGCTATTAGGAGACTTAGCCCATCTGAAAAGGAGAGCAAAGGTTCATTATATATAGTAAAATCCCATTGCTAATCAAAAAGATACACGGCTAAAAGCCTCAGACTTCCAGATGAAGGTAACTTTCACTGACAACCTTCGTTTTGTCTTCAGTAGAATTGCATATGTTTGGCCAAGGTCAGAACTTGACCAAGCAACTGGAAGTGAGTTGAAACTGTCCCATGGACTGCCTTCAAACAAGGGAAAGGCTCAGCTGGGTCGTGAGAGAGGCTTGAGACACTTCAGGTTTCTCGGTACTAGCGGCTTCCTATTGCTGCCGAACGAGACCGATTTAAGCAGCAAATTCCTCTAATGTTGAAAACAAAAAAGATCATTATTTTTAGACAAAGCAGCTAGGCAGCTGTCTAGTTGTCTCCGCCTGTCCTCTGAGGCTTTTAGTTGGCTGTGTTTTCTCTCTCACAAAATAAGGACAATTGTAATAGAAATTTGTTGAAGAAATGGTGTTTATGAATAGGGAATTGAACTTGTATAGAGGGTTACATAACACTGTAATATATATGTCAATTATCTGTAGCACATTGGCCGCTCTTGAAATGAGCCATAGGCTATAAAGCACGTTTGTGAGCTGCTGTCACACAGATAAGTATTTTTCAGATCCACTGAAATTCATAATTTGTCTCTGAAAAGTTCTACCCTACCCTACTGGCACATCACTTGAAATGATTAAGCAAAGTTATACTTGTTCTCCACCGATGTGGAGCACCGGTATACACTAATACACCGGTATTAGTGTATCGCACTAATGAGATATTTTTATTAAATATATTTCAGCAGTGTGTGGATGGTGTGCGTCTCTGAATGAATCCTCTGAACACATCATTACACTCAGTTTTGAGGATCAAAAGGCCTGACAGGTGCTTAACAGAGAAGTAAAGATCCCATTCCTGGCCCCAAACCTTTAACTGTATGACCGGATCTGTACACGTAGTTGGCTCCTCCATGAAGTCAGTGGGACTCTGTACAAGAGCAAAGGTCCGTCATAGAGTTAGTTGTTGGATAGGGCCTTAAATTCAGACAAGTGATAAAATGCAAACAGAAAAAAGAGCTGAAGAGACGAGAGGCAGGGTAAGAGTTACAGTAATGAGATCACATTTACTTTGGATGGGTTCGTTATTGTGGTATTTGCTGATGGTGGGTGACCTGGCAAAGTTTAGTTGTTAAGAGCTTAATGAAGTAGTGGGAAGAAATTTGGTAAATGGATTTTTGAAAGGTCTTTTGTGCCTGCAGGGCAATGGTGAACCAGCTGCAGAGATGAAAATGATGGTGTTTTTTAGTTTTGCTGCAGAATAGGAATGGGAGGAGGGCATGCAAAAGGAGATCCTTTCAGAGAGGTGGGTGTATTTGAGTGCTGCCCTGACTGATCGTATGATATATCTTACATAAAACAAGATGTGTGGAACAGCCTTGTGCTGCTATTAGGTGTTGCTGTCGGTGTGCATGGTAACATTAGCTCTCACCTGTCTTAATCAAATCCCCACCAGATTTTTACCAAAACCTCAGATTGCTGAAGACCACAAGTTGATGTCTTCTTTTTGTATGGGGAGAAGCGTTTGCTCCTACAGCTTGCACTGTTTTACTCTTGCAGTGCAAGCTGTAAGAGTGTTTGGAGTGTTTAGTTTGGAGAAAGGGAGACTGAGTGGGAAGCGGTTTTCAACTATTTGAAAAGTTGCCCTAAAGAATTAGAGAACAATTGTTCTCCCCTGCTATAGAGGGCAAGATCTGAGGCAGTGGGTTTGAACCATGACTTCTGGACTGCAACAAAAAAAGGAACAAGGGTAATAGAACAAGCTGCCCAGGGAAGTTGTGGCATCCGCTTTACTGGAAGATTTTGAAAAGAAATTGGGTGGGCTTGTTCAGCAATTTGGGTTGGTCCGTGAATGGGGCACCCTGCAGCTGTGCAGGGGTTAGATTACCCTCGGAGTCCCTTCTGACTTTTTGATTCTGATTTAATATTGCCATGTTTGATGCTACATTTTGGGATTAAACTCTTCCTCCCTGGAATATAATTAGACTTCTGCTGTGGTGCCTGCTAGCTTCTCACTTGGCACGTGGTCCAGTGGTGACCAATATCAAATCTTTCAGAGGAAGGAGACCCCCTGAACTGTCAGGTTTGGAATAACATGCATTGGTAATGAGTGGCTGACTTACACTTTCATGCTTTAGGGGTTATCCTTTAGAAACTTGTTTTTCCTGGATAATTTAACTAAGGGTGCTGTCTGTACACACATCTAATCCTCTTTGAATTCTAAGCTCTTGGCATCCAAGGTATATTGAGTCAGTCAGTGCCATAGGTTAATTATAGCCCATGGCTTAAAGAAATAAAAACCCTTTATTCTGTTTTCAGTTTGCTACCTTGCTTGGCATGTTCCCTCGCTCTTCTGAGAGCTTCAGTACAAGTGCCAGATGTCTCCTCTTTACACCTTTCATTATTTTATATATTTCCAAAACTAATTCTGTACAGCAGACTAAACTGAACTTGGTGTTTGCACTTGATGACTGAAAGTATGCTGCTATTTTGGATCAGATTAGAGTGCTGCTATTTTGCTATTTGAAAGTCACTGCCAATATTCTTCTGAACCAACAAACTTATTGGAACTTTAACCTGCTAAAATATTTGTGCACAGATTTTTCTTACATTTGTATTGACCAGAGCAAATTAAAGGTCACTTCAATGTTTCAGTGTCCTATATGCAGTTATCTTATCATTAAGCTGGTGAACTGTTGTTAGGGAGAGGCATGTTAAAGTGCAACTATTCTTGGACTTGCTTTTTGATTTTTACAATATCATTTCTTTTATTAGCATAAATTATTACAGGAAGTGTGTTGAGGCATCTTTTAAAGTTTTAATTTTCTCTATTTTGAAAGCTCAAAACTAACAAGTTTTGATGTCTTTCAGCCTAGCAAATATGGATCTTTTTATTTGACCGGAGTGGAAGCCCTAAGTGACTTCTTTCTTTATTTCATAGTTCTGGTAAATACAATGGTATCACTAATACCAGCATAATTTTAAGACGAGAGGTTGTGTTCCCTCCAGCTGCGTGCTTTGATAACAGAATAGCACAACAGCAACAAAAATATGCAAAACTATTGCCTTAATTTCTTTTATGGTAAAGTGTTTCGTTCCTATTCAGCACCAAATACCTGGTTACACATTGTGATTTTTGTCTCATTCCCCAGATTTATTAGTATGAGTTATGAATTGGATATAAATTAGCTTTCTGTGATGCTGCAGAAACTATTCTTATG